GGGGCTCATCATGGTGGGGGGTTGAGTGCAGGGAGCTCAGTGGGGGATGGTCCGGGTGCGGGGGGGGGGGGGGGGGGTGCAGCTGCAGGGGGGTGGGGCTCATCATGGTGGGGGGTTGAGTGCAGGGAGCTCAGTGGGGGATGGTCCGGGTGCGGGGGGGAGGGGGGGGGTCAAGCTTCAGTGGGGTGAGGCTTGGATATGGAGGACTAGGGGGGTTCTGGGAGTACAGGGTGAGGCTTGGAGGGCATATTTGGGAATGGGAGGGTCCAGATGCACAGGAGTTGGGCAGATGGGGGAGCAGCTTCCCATACAGTGACCCCTCCCTACACAGTTGAGGAGTGATGGGGGCAGGAAGCAGGGGAGGATGCAACTGGGGGAGGTTTCTAGGGGTGGGTCTGACACAGCCCCAGCCACTCCTTACAGGGGAAGAGAAAATCCCATCCTCTCCTGCCTCCTGCCCAGCCAGGACTAGCAGCTGATCCCAGCTCAGAGTAGGAGCCACTGACTGTCTCCACTGGCTGCTACGGGTGCGTGAAACAATGTACCTGCACAGCTAGGGAGTGATGTGTGACTGCTCTTGCACCTTCCCTTTGCTTCCCTGTCAGAAAGTCATTTTTCTGCGGGGAAGCAAAGACATCTGTGAGGGACATGAATTCTGCACATGTGCAGTGGCACAGAATTCCCCCAGGAGTAGAACATCTAGTGTATAAGACCATGTTTCAGATCTCCTCTAAAGCAGTGGTTCTCAAACTAGGGCAGCTGCTTGTCCAGGGAAAGATCCTGGCAGGCCGGGCCGGTTTGTTTACCTGCCACGTCCGCAGGTTCGGCTGCTCGCGGCTCCCACTGGCCGCAGTTTGCCGCTCCAGGCCAATGGGGACTGCAGGAAGGGCGGCCAGCACATCCCTTGGCCCGTGCTGCTTCCTGCAGCCCCCATTGGCTTGGAGCGGCGAACTGCGGCCAGTGGGAGCCGCGATCAGCCAAACCTGCGGACGCAGCAGTAAACAAACTGTCCCAGCTCACCAGGGGCTTTCCCTGAACAAGTGGTGGCCTTAGTTTGAGAACCAATTCTCTAAAGCCACTTTGCAGACAGTTGGCATGATACTTTAAAGGGCATATTAACAACTAATATGGAGCCATTATTCCTGACACTATGGGAAGTATATACATTAAATGTATTGCAATGTATGTTCTTATTTTCGAATAATAGTAATGTGGCTGTTTTAAAATAAAAAAAACAAATGCATTCTAGGTGAAATGAGTGCACATTTCTTTGGGCAAAAGCTTCAGTCCTGTGACGTGCGGAATGACGTGCGGTAGGCAAGAAGTAACTGCAGCAACAAAAGAATTTTGCCTTTAGACTGAAACTTTCTGTAGCAAGTTTAACCCCTTATAGGAGACAACATTGGATTTAATAACAAATGCTTTGTTAATTTAAAGATAAAAAATAAAATATAGAACTACCCTAAAACATAAAAGACAGGCATGGTCCATTAACATTAAAATACTATGTCTGCCTTTTACATTTTAGGGTAGTTCACATACAAAATAAAATTTCATAAGTGACCTTCAGGACTGGAACACCACTTTTTAATAGCACTGTTACCCAGCCATGGCCCAAATGTGATGCTGGCCTTTAACCATGTATGGTGAAGCCCTCCAAACCCAGTGCCCTGTCCCCTGGTGCAATGATCTTCCTAACAATTCAGGTTCTCTCTTTAAAAACAACCACCATTTGTTAACCATACCTGGGCAGTTTGGCCTATCACATGTCCTCGACTCAGTGGCTGTGCAGGCATATCCACAGGATCTGGTTCGCTTCTGATTGCCAATCCCACAGGTTACGCTACAAATGGACCATGGGCTCCAGTCTCCCTCTCCATCAATATAATCTATACAGGAACAAAGAGGAGGAAGGAAATGAAAAACAAAAACCCTACTACCAAATACTACTGTATAGATGGTGGTTTTTATTAAGTAGGCATAGCAAGAATGGAATCCAGATGTCTTTACCTGAAATCTGGGCTGAGTGCCAGGCTTAAGCCTGCTGTTTAAATGGTTTTCACACTTGACTCTCCTCAGGGACGTGCATGCAACATTATTTGAAAAAATATTTCCTTTCTCTTTTGACCTTTTAGCAGCCGAGAATCTTCAGCTGTAAAGCTGGGTCATGAACTAACAAAACGTCTATTTAAACTATTTTTCCATCGGTAGGAATATGCTTTCTGATCACAAACCGACCAGATATGTAATAAAAACATTTACTTTAACCCCTCCACCCCTCGAATAAACCCCTCCAAACGTATCTATAGCACACAAAGATATTCAAAACGTAACTGGATTTTAGGACAGAATGCAGCTTGGATTTTGTTTGGCTAGTTGATTGTATGTGGAAATATTTCAGTTTCATTCTTTAATCTCCCCTCACATCAGAGCAAGAGAGCTAACGTGTTATAGAAGAAGTCACTGATGCAGTGAATTACACGTTCTTTTCAAACCCATGGTAATGAACATTTTATATTACTGACTAAATGACCAACTGTTAAAAGAAGAACAGGAGTACTTGTGGCACCTTAGAGACTAACAAATTTATTAGAGCATAAGCTTTCGTGGACTACAGCCCACTGACCAACTGTTGTCACTGAGGGCCTAATCCTGTACCATTAAAAGCTCTTTGGGTCAGGAACCAGCATTTTGTTCTGTAATGACCGTGGCTTCTAGGCACTACCACAGTGCAAATAATACGAACATGACTGGGTCCAAGTTGAGTGAAATATTCCACTAACTAATCTGGGAAGCCCAGAGCATAGAGTGTACTGCCTAGTGTGCCTTCACTCCCGATACCAAACATGCCACTTCAGGGTTACACATTTGCGAGAAGACCAACCAAGCTCCTGTCTCTCACTATGTAACGGACTGCACTAGTGCATAGTTTTCTGCCAGGGTTAGAGGTATCTATGTTATAACATGGTTTGTTTTATTGCCAGTGTGAACAGAAAACATGGATAATAAACCCTGTTAAAGATGGCTGTTTTAGCCTAGAGAATCTGCACTGGGAATAGAAATCTTCGTTTAACATTGATGCCCCTAGGTGTGGCAGAGCACTGTACATCTTTTTGTAGTACTAAAATTTGTCCACAGATACAGGTGCAAGAAGAAAGGACTTTAAAATTCTGGCCCACAATATTCAGTACTTATGTACATATTTAAATATAAAATTCAGCAAAAAAGCTCTCTAAGTTAAGGCTCTAGACTCAAACCTAATCAAAACAAGGGCAACTAGGGCTGAAACAGTAAGCTACAGCTTCTGTGTGTGTGTAGATGATGCAACATGAATTTGGTAGGGCTTTACTTCAGTATATATTGATTTACAGCTTCATCCTTAGAGGCTCTGAGCCACTTGCAACTCCCATAGTGTGCATATTAAGTCACGTCCCAGAAGTCATCCCAAAATGTGCAGCTATAGACCAATGTGATAGTAAGGAAATAATTCGTCCTTTCGGTTTTCAGCAATTGTTTCATACAACAAACTGAAAATAATTGTTTTCCCCAGGATACATCTGGAACAGAATTCCACACGCAAAGTGTTCCTGCTATCTATGCCACTCCCTACACATGAGTCAACATAACTTGCCTTACTTATATCTCAACCAAACATGACCACATTGTAGTTCTCACTCATTTATCCACCAGTTACATTTTAGCTTCCAAATCACTGCACATGGTTCTAAATTTGTACTTATCCTTACACTAAAAATAAATGAGACCGTATTTCCTTTGTTTAAAAAAGTACACTTATGAATAAAAAAAACTTCTTGTAGGATAACTGGTATAATTTTCAAGATTATAGACTCACAAGTGGAATGTGGCTACCACAGCCTAGTTGGTGCATCTGCACAGATTTGTATTTAAAAGCCAATGAACAAAAGCCACATGTTGGAAAAACTCTATTTTGCTTGGCCTACTTTCAGCGATGCCTCTCCATTCTCATTTCCCCCAAACTAGTTTTACAATCCCAAGGTGCCCATAAGAGGTCTGGAATGCGAACTCACCATACTCTGGCTGCTCCTTGGATTCAAAAGTCCGGTGGTTGGGTGCATGCCTATCCCACCCACCAAGAGGGTTTAGGAAGTTGCTATCTTCGGTGGTGCTGTCATGCTTGTAGTCCTGGTCACCGCTACTCATGCGAGTCAAGGTGGATGACGTCTGCCACCAGTTCCTCCAGTCAGGGGATGGGACTGGCCAGCTAGGCTTGCTGCTCTCTTTGTGCAGATCCTTCTCTGGTTCAGTATCGGGGCCATCAACCACTTCTATGGTAACCTAGAGAATTCAAGTTATGCCAGGTCAGTCGGCATGCAAAATCCAAAACTAGATCATCTCCACAGAGAGTGCCCATGCATCAGTGGGGAATCTTCTAAACAGCAGAGATAAGGGACTGATGTTATCTAGCAAAAGGGGCTTGTAATCCTTTAGGGCTAGCCTGTTATAAACCGTACGTGGATTACTGTGAGCCCAGAGATGTGCAGAAACTGAGTGATTCCTTCTGCCACCTGTGCTGCGTCAAATCTTGGAGCAAAAAGCCCTCTTTCCCCTCTCTTCCCCCCCCCAAAAAAATCCTGAACAAAACAAGAACGAAACCTGCATTTTAAACCTTTACAATGAAGCTTTCTGTCTTCAGGGGAAAAGTCGTTTAAAAGTTTATGAAGAGGAAAAAGAAAAACACTCATCTTAAATTCATTGGGCCTGAATGTGAAATGTGCTAGATCAGAATGGTAGCCTTCGTTGTTGGCTTTGCATAGGTGCAAATAACTACACCAGGTGCAAGGCAGTACAGAATCAGTTGCATGCTCTTTGCTTGCTAAATATCTGTTCAAGTGTTGGCCTGGTCGCTGGCTGATAAGACGATTTGCACCCTAGTAGATTTTCCTATAGCACAATTGCAACCCTATAATATTTAGGGCTGGCACTAGCATGTGAAACCATAATGTAGGTGGCCACAGTTTCTATATATTCGTCTTTTACCCTGAGATACCTTTTATATCCAAGGTTACCATGGGAATTTTAATCATAAATGACTCAACATTTTTTCAACAAGATATAATAAATATACATTTTATACCACTATTCACTAGAGAAGCTTTAAGCATTTTTGGCAATTGTCACAACAGCCCTCTGAAATAGATTTGATTATACTCACTTTCCAAAGGGGTAAGAAGAGGTACATTTAAATCACCTGTCTAAAGTAGGACAGGCCACTATCAACCAGGAATAGAACAGCCCAGATTCAAGATTCCCTGCTCAAATCCCTAGACCACACATACATTCATGCATATAAATAAATCTGTATAATACTGTATAGTAATTATAACACACCCTTTTGCTGCTTTTCAATGCATAAAAATTAATGAATTAATTATGAAATTCTTAAATAAATGTTGGGTGCGCACATACATACGTATTTAGAGAGACATTGATACTAGCAATCAGGAATCTAGGGTCCCGGTGTCATGGAAATATGGTATGACCATAGACAAACAAATTATCGTTCAGTCATTGGTATGCCCTCGCTGCTTTGTGCTGCTCCAGGAATGCAATGCAGCTGTAAACCCAGTTCAACTTGCTGAGTAAGCTGGACTTTTGGGTTGGCCAAAGGAGCCAGAGTGTAGAGGTGGTTCTGTCATATATATCTACTGTATAAAATGTGTGTGAGTATGTACATTTTATAGATACACCTACATGTTACAAGAGTCTTTTGGACAGAACTTTCTTAAAATTGGGTTTCTATAAACCAGACAAAGCACAATAGCCTGTTATGCTGGGGACATGAAGGCAATTGGATTAGAGTTCACAGTTTCATAAAATTGGTTTTAATAAAATCATGAATTTACCTGAACACACACACACACACACTCTCTCTCTCTCTCTCTCTCTCTCTCTGGCAAATAAAACCTCATGTACTTTCTATGTCCGTCCTGTTACTTGTGAGTTGCCGAGGGACATTACACTGGAAGTGGAATGGCTCCAGCTGAAGATCTGTTGGAGCTCAGTAGTGCAGAATGCAGTTGTGCACTTACAAAACAATGCACACATTTCCTTTTTGGAGAAACAAGCCATTGCATTTACACACTGCTTCCCCTCTGACTACGGTCAGAAAAATTAAGACGAAATGACTGGGAGGCTATTAGGAAGCTCCACTGGGATTGTATAGAAAGAAGCAATACAGGTATGGAGTGGCTGTAACAAAATAAGTCTCTGGGAAGGAGATAAAACCGTCCAGCATATTTTTCTTTGTCTTACATTTTGTCATTTTAATGGTGGAATCAAAATGATTACTCCAACAGATTAGTCACTGCAATTTCTACAAACTGAGAATTAAAACAGATTTCATATGCTTGAAACTATAAGTGACAGTTCCTGGGCTGTACGGATCCAAGCAAAACAGTGTTGTGCATCCAATAAGTGGGAATAAACAAGGTGCTTTGTAGCAGTTTAAAGACAACCAGCTATGCTTGGAAGGTGCTATCACTGGCTGAATATCAACAGGATTTTTTTTTTAAAAGCACATTAACTTTAAAAGCAAAAACTAAACAAAAGGAAACAAAAAAGACTTTCCAAAGGGACCATTTCAAAATCAGTCCTTCTTTGCTATTTTTTAATTGTAATACGGTTCATTGCGATTAACTCTCTGGGTATATCATGCAGATGTAATCTGAAGTCCCATAGGAATCTAATTTAAAAAGATTACTCAGAATACTAAGTTATTTTTAAGATATTATAAAAAGATCTTTGAATTTTTAGTTATCCCTGCTATACTTGTAATGTGTTTGTTATTATGCAATCTTATTACAGGGTACTTTAAAACAATAAGGATTGCACATCTCAAAGTAAGTAGCATTAATTTCTTCTTAAAGTTGGGTTAAAATACAAAAAACTTCCACTTCTACCAATTATTAAACAGTTATATTATTCTTTCTGATAGGCCTAAGGAAAATGGATTTAGTCATTCACCATTCTGCTGCAGTTTCCCCAAACACACCACTCTAATGCAAACTGCAAGGTGTTAAACCCATCTGATACAAAGGGATTATTAATAAAGTGTGTACTATACAGGGCCGGCTCCAGGCACCAGCCCACCAAGCTTGTGCTTGGGGCGGCACCT